TTAGGCAATGTATTTTACAGAGTTGAATGTGAGGGGTAATTGTAAGAATAAATTTGCATTCACCAACTCAACTGATTCAAAATGTAAAATTTCATCGTTTTAGTTTTTGACAGAATCGCTTTAATGTGATGCCAGTGCTTTATTATAAGACTCCACCAAACCCCTTGTTGCCTGTATCATTCCTTTGCTATGTCACATGAAAGCTGCTAAGGGAATAGCAAATGGTAAGAAAAATGACTTCCTTCTTAAGATTACAAGCCCAGAGAATAGCAATGTTATTAGCATTTTTAGTCAAGAAATGTTATAGTAATAAATACAAAAAAATGCAGTGGAAAACCTCAAAGTAGCCTCTGTGAATCATGTTTCCTGTACAGCTTATCCAACTAATGACAGTTCCATCTGTGTGCTTTTTCTCTTGCACAAGCAAAACGTCATGAAAGGTCTTTTTCCCCTGAGAGGAACAACACAAGACACACATGTTAAAAATCTCCTCTTGTGTTCATAGTGATCTTTCTCAGTGCCTCCGTGTCTTGTCTAAAAGTTTAGTTTAGCCTCTATTTACTCGCTCATATGAATCCCAATTAGTTTTTTTGCATAACCACAAACCAGTCATGTACTGTGTATCCACTACACCCAGACAAGGTCACCATCGCCACATTTCCAGTCATTATCTTGTTTCATGATTTCAGGCTTTATGCAGTTTTATGTCCTCTGAAGCTGAGACATCAGTGCCTCGGAGCAGAGTGATTAATGTGGTTATCTTTAGGAGTAAATGGAGTATAGGCAGAACAGTGATTTGTAGCTTTCACTCTGGCGGCATCTGCCCTTCCTTGGAGGCAAGTACTAATTGAGGAAACCGTCCTTTATCATTATTTGATGTCTAGGTTATTCTTGGCCGTGTATAAGAGCAGTCTGTTGAGTTAAGCAACATGCTCTCCTTCCAGCCAGACTGAACTCCCTCCCCTTAGCTCGAACTGTCACGTAGCACAAGAATGTTGGTTTGGTTTATGGGATAGTAAGATGTTTATTTAATCTCTAAAGAAAAAAGAAGAGATGATTTTTGACAGTCTTTCACTGCCTGCGGGGTTTCAGGGCACTGTGTATTCTGCTTAGACGTTCAGGGGATCCTTGAATGCATACAAATCAATCATTCGTCACAGATCTGTTGAAGTTACAAACGATGGTGGAAAGCAATTAAATTGGTCATGGAAACTTTGGACGTTTCTTCAGGTGCAGTCGCAAATGTAAACAGTATGGAGTTCCATTTGAACCAAAATAATTTCCACATCTTCACCTTCTATGAATGTTGCTTGTCTCTGTCAGCACAACCGTCCATGAGGGCATACGGTGAAACAAGTTCAGCATAGCCGGGCTCTCTTTGTATTATCCCGATCGGAAATTATGTGTATCATGACATTTGACTTTCTCTTTCATGCTTTTAGCTTCAGTCTCTAGTAAAATAAATGTATTAACCTAATATCATTTATTTCAGATTCATTTTATAGTGCCAAATCACAAGGTCCATTTGTTTTGTATTTGTTTTGATTTTCATTTTCATGATGCAGCATTCACTTTTGCAGATTTCAGTAAAATCTTTACTGTGCAGAATGGTTTGTTTTCTGTTTTACAAAGCAAAAAAATGCAGGCTGTACTCATTCAGTCCCTGTTTATCCTTAAGTCACCTCTCTAGCCTTGGCACTGTTTTATCAAGGCACAGCTGTTGCCTGGGAGGAAGTTCTGGCTTTGAAATAAATAAATGTGGGGAACTAATGTTTCTATGTTGAATGACTTTGACATGGCAGATAAATCTACTTCAATTTTGGCCATTGGTGGAGATGTGGAATAGGAAAAAGGTATCAGACATACATATTTTCCTGCTGAAATAGAATAGTGAAGATTATAATTTTATATGGTCATCCCTAAGGTAATAAATTGAAATCCTCATCTAAAATGAACAACTTATTTATTTCCATGATAGAACTTTTTGTTATAGTCAGGAGAATAAAGGCAAATGTAGAACAATGCACTGTTGAGATAAGATATAAGGAAGGGTTCCTGTCACATAAACAAAAGCTATAGTGTGGAATATTTGAAGTATAATTAAAAAATGAAATAAAGATCTGTGTGTGCAAAGCTATGTTTGGGAACGTTAACATTAGCTCACAGATTTAGTGCCACAAATCTATGAGAGGTTTGTTACTTTATCCTACATCCTGACTACATCCTTATTCTATGTGAGATTTTTCAACCATCTCCCAAGACACAACCTAGTTGTGTACCAGAGTATAGTCAGAGTGTATACACCTCTGATTTGGTAGTTTGAGGGACCAATATTCACTCTATTTTCCTGATAAAAAAAAAAAAAAAAATCTCCTTAGCAACTAGAAACACTATGTTTGCCAGCTAATTGCTAACTCTGCCTGTTGGCCATTTGGTGAAAAGCAAGTAGAGTATAGTAATAAGAGCTTTTGGAAACAGATGGAAACAGCAGCCTTTCCCTGTAGGGAGCAGAAATAATGACAGTGAAGGTAAAAGTAGGCTGTAAAATGAAAACTGAAAGCTTCTAAAAAGCCCAGTAGCTGCAGAGATGGAGCTACATTTTAAAACATACAGTCAAAAAAAAAAAGATTCACAATTTTGGATAACAATCATATTTCCAAATGTTAAAGATACGTACATATCCCCCAACATACGTACACACATTCAAGCATACATTCTTTCCTATGGTCATTGATACATTTTTGCACGCGATCCAAGCATGGCACGATCCAAACCCAAAGTTAAAGCACACATTTAATTTCCAATTGACATTACTCTGCAATTCAAGTACTTTTCACCAAATGAAAACAAGAAGCTTGCTTTTTCTCATGCACCTGACAAGACTGGCCTTCTTTAGTCTCAGAAACTATGCTCCTCTAAAGCAGCACTGCTTTTGGACTGGGTCATAGCCTTTAAAACGATCTCATATCAACAGTTACATGTGCATGACTATGCTGCTCTCTATTTATGCATGACAGAAAAAGCCTCCTTAAATAAAATACTTAAGGAAACCAACATTAAATGACATGATGTTTTGTCTAAGCTAGTGTGGTACTGCCCGAGTCTTGAACTAAACTGCTAGGGCCTGTGGCTGATGATCATGTAGACATGAGGCATCTGGAAAGAAGTAGCAGTTTGTTAATTGCTTCCTCCTGCATGTGTACAGTATGGTGTTTGTGGATTTAACTGGGACAGGCTAAAACATGTTGCACATTTTGCCATAGAAACCCTTTGATGCCTTTGGCTTCTAAAGCCAGAAAAACCTGTAAGAAGGCAGTCGGCCACGGTGATTAGGCTTAATAAGATAATTCACTGTAAAAATGTTTGTGCAGTTTGGGGAAGATTTATAACCAGTGCAGACAGAGCACTGCTGAGCAGCTGTACAGGGGGTAAGAGTCTTTGATTATGCATAATGTAACACAGGAATAGCTATTTCAAGACAGATGTGGTATATAGCTTGGGTTACACTATTGAAGTCTTTTTTGGCAAAAAAAAAAAAAGTTGGGTTTTTTTCTGTGCAATGACATTTTTCTGACTATTCTAACCTTGTAGTAACACTCACCAACCTTGTGGTCCTCTATATGATACATCTGGCTTCTCTCTCATTTCCTGTCAAGTTGCCACAGCAGATGGATCATGTGGTGCATGGATGAAGCGTATTTGGCAAAGATTTTACAATGGAAGCCCTTTGTGATAAAGGCTTTCCATTTTTGGGGGCTTGGGACCAGTACTAGGAGTAAACTAGCTTGTGAACCCATAGGCTGTGTTTGTGTCACTTTCCAGTCTCAAACCTTGGTGTCCACTAAACAGGGTAATTTCCATTGACCAAAATTATTAAGAACCAACATTTAAGGAACTGTGAAAAATAAGAGCAGAAGTTAGCATCTGAAATCTGTTTGGTATCTCAGTTCCTCAGTTGCCTGTGATACTGTAATCTGCAAATAAGTGTTATCGTTCACAAGTATTGTTTATGATCTAGTGTTTGAAGTATCCCCAACTGGTCACGGCAGATGGCTGCCTCTTCTTGGGCCTGGTTTTGCTAGACTTCTGCTTCTTCCTGTTAAAAAGATGTTTTTCCTTCCCACAGATGGTTGTTTGATTATTGGGGTTTTCTTTCTATTATTGTAAGGGTCTTTAACTTACGACAAAATGAAACTTGAGGCAAATGTTGTGGTGATTTGGTGCTTTTTAAATACATTGAATTGAATGTGTTGCATATCTCATTCTGGTGGCTGATATATTGAAAAGGTCTGCTTCCAGTATTCTGAATATTCATTGCGAATGTATAACATTATGACTTTGATGGCAAAATAAAGACCCAGCTTTACATTGCTGGCGCTTAACTGAGCTATGTAAAGACAGGCAAACAGATCGTCAGTTAGCAGTGAGCTTTAGCTAACCTGTGGCTAACTTTATTTGTATTCAGCAAGCTGTATGCTCACTGCACCATCTTCATTTTCATTCTGAAATAGAGACTGCACTCTCATGGGAAATCGTTACCATGTGATTTGATTACATAGCAAATTCTATTTGGTTGCAAACCCCCCTACTAACAGGAAGCTAAATTAACGAATTAGCTTACACAGTGTATAGGCTATCATTATATATTGCTGAGATCTGGAAGTTAGTTTTTGGGCAGAGATGTGTCTCTGTGGGTCTATGCATGGTGGTTTAGTCAATAATGTAAGCTTTTGCTGGGAGTGCTGATAATTCCATGAAAGAAAAGTTACAATACATTTGGGAAAAAGCTTTCGAATGTGTGTTTACTGTGGCTGTTGCATCTTTCCACTTCAAAAATCAACAACATATGTTACATGCCCACAAGGCCCAAACTTTAGCATAAAGAAAAGTGCAAGTTGCTGTTTAAAAAGAAAGATTGTTTTTGCTTTTTTTGTGCTTTTATTTATTTATTTTTTGTTTGTTTGCTTTTTAAATGTTGTTTCTCAATATATTGTCTACAGAATCTTGACATTCATGTAGAGGATGTGCAGATTCGAGCCATTCTGTCATCCTACCGTAAGCGGATCCCTGTGATGGAAGGCTACGTGGAGGTCAAAGATGGTGGCAAATGGAAGCAGATCTGTAACAAAGACTGGACCCAGTTTAACAGCAGAGTGATCTGTGGCATGTTTGGCTTCCCCGGGGAGAGGAAGTACAATCCCAGAGTCTACAAGTGAGTATGTGTGGTCCTGGGTGGTTCAAAGAGCAGAGCAGAGTTTAAACTTTAAATGACTAAAGGGCACTTATATAGAAATTCAGGATATTAAAAGGTATGTCAGAATAATGTGGCTACTGTTTCAATGCTGTGACTCAGTGGGTGTTTTGTTGGGTACAGAAAAAAAATGCATCTGCAGGAGACTGGATGACAGATGGCAAATCCTAATTTTTTTTTCCTCTTTTTTTCTGTGCCACAAATTGGTAATTACATCTTTAGCAAACTCCCCTCGGTGCCTCACATGGATGAAAAATATATATAATTACATATATATAGATTTGGTAGATTTCTCAACCAGCACGTGCAGATCACTGCTGCGAAATTCATCTAAGTCTCAAACTGTAGAGTACAGCAACGTGGAAGGGGGGCTGAAAAAATTCAAATGAATACATCATCATTACAGTGTTTGACCAAATCCAACATGAGTGACTAACCTCAATCACTTCATTACTCTGGCAGCTCAGTACACCAACTGGGTTAGACTTCTGCGGAGGCTTGATAAATTTCAGGTTCTTACTGAAATCTTTGTGGATTGTGTATCTTTATCTTCTTCTTTCTGCTGCTCCCCTTACGGGTCAACACAACAGATCATCTGCCTTCATGTCACTCTATCCTTAGCATCCTGCTCTGTCACACCATCCTCTGTATATCGTCCCTCACTACATTCATGGATTTTTTGTGTTCACTCCCTTTTTTTCTCCTGCCTGACATCTCCATATTCAACATCCTTGGTCCAATACATTAAATATACCTCCTCTGCCAATGTATCATCTCAGCCTTTTCTCTTTAACTTTGTCTCCAAACTTTTTGACCTGAGCTATCCCTCTGGTGGTCCTGGTGCTCTCAAAGAAAATCTTAGCATCTTCACCTTTGACATCTCCAGCTCGAACTCCTGTCTTACTGCTGTCCTTCTGTCACAAATCAACCCTGACACCCATCTCCATCCACTCCACCCTACCTGCAATGTCTTCCTCACCTCTCTTGTACTCTGCTGGTTGCTTTGGATGGTTGACCCCAGGTATTTTAACTCATCTACCATCACTACCTCTGCTCCTTGCAGCTTTATTGTGCATCTCTATCACAACACCTAAAATTTTCCAGTAATTATCAAGAAAGAAAGCAAAACGCCCAAAGCCAAACCCAGGAAATGATTTGCAGTTCATTCAGCGTTGTGTTTCAACCACATATACTCCAAATGCAAAAAGTACAGATGTAACAATTGAGTCAGCTGGTTTATTATCAGCCATGGCACATACAAATAATCTGGCCCATACTTTTTAGTAATTTTGATTAAAACTAATAATATATATGATAATAAAGAAAATCATATATATTATTTTCCTGGGTTCTCATTTGCATGAAATAGAGATAAAGAAAACTTGCCAGTTATCTGGCTGTTCAGATTATATATATCTGCTCTCCTCTCTCTAACCTTCCTCAATCCACACACCACCCCCTACAGTCAGCCTATGTAGTAATCAGCCTATACTACTATGTGACTGGCTGGCTTTTGGAAACCTTGAAAGGCTACAAACACAAACAGAGGCTGGATGTCAACTGCTTGTGCACTTCCATCATCCAAACTATACCAATGGTCAGTCCAACAACCCACTAAACAACCCTAACCCATCCTTAACAGCAAAGGCTAAAATGTGGACAGCTGCTTCTGGGAACTCTCTGCTCTGCTCCGAACTCATTAGCAATGTTAAAATTCACAAATGTGAACTGCAGCATTGTTAATGAGTTCAGAACAGGCTGAGATCTTGTGAAATCTCTCCATAACACCTTCCTTAAAAACTGTATATAGTAAATGAAATTCAGAAAAGCACGACATGTCCCTGTTAAATATTCTGTTTTCACACCTATAATAGATATATCAAAGCTTAATGTTCAGTATTGCAGTTTAGGCATTGTATTGCAATGTGCCAGGACCAAGCATTGTAAACAATGGAATAATCTTTAATCCTCTAATGTGTGTCCCATTACATTCCTGACATTACAGGCCTTTTACAGCAAAATTCGTGCCTGACTCCTGTATTTTCAGTATAGGTGCATTACAAAAAAGTTTTGCAGTGTGCGAGGAACTGCTGAGAAATCTAAATCTTGCTGACATTAGGCCAAATGGCCACAAGTTAATCATGGTGTACCACAAAACTTCAGGCACTCAAGTTAACCTTAAATTTACTGTCTGGCTGAGTTGGAAGTCTCCCCTCTGCTTTAGGTAACCAAAGCAGAGTGCAGCAGCTTCCTAACTTTCCATCTACGTGTCAGCCTGCTTTGGCCACAGTGTACTTTCACAGGCTGACATTATAAAATAAATGTGACAGTTTCATAATCCTGAATTTGTCTTTTGTCCTATTGGCTTGAGATTTTCACAATAGCGTCTTCATGAAATGTAAAAAGTGAATTTATAAAGTTATAAAACAGTACATATTTAGTGTTTTGACCTGGAACATTATTGAGTTAAATAGTACATAGTACTAAAATAGTAAATAGTACATTGTTGGTTTCTGGTTATTGTGACTTAGCAGAACAGCTTGGCATTAGTATTATAGATCAAAAGATTATAAAATGCACACCTTATTAAAAAGCTATAAGGGGAGTACCCCCACTAGGGACTTGAGACAGCAGTTAAAACTGACTTGAGGCTATAACGTTGTTGCACACAAAAATGATTGAGTAACTGCTAGATCTGTAAGTTAACTTATATTCTAAATTATTTGACAATGAACATGGAAATTGAAAGAACAAAGGGCTGCATGCTTAATCTCTTGAAAAGTTCTTAGACATTAGATCTTACAATGTCTTGATGCATGTTCAATCATCCAAGTAAGTAAATTCCAGAAAGTTGATTCTTGATGGTGCGTTTTCAGTGGTAGAACTGTTTAGTCACTCATCCTGTTGACTTCTTCATAGAGTGAATAAATGAATTAATAAATGATGAAAATAATCAACTTTCTGCGACGTACTTACCTGGATGATTCATCAAGACATTGTAAGAACTAATGTCTAGAAACTTTTCTCTTGCGTTTAGTATGTCTAAAGATGACACTAAGGAAGCTTGTTTAGTCTTCGGGGTTGTCACCAATGACAACTTAGGTCTCCCATGGTTAATATTAGGGCAGGAGATAAGAACATGCAACATTTTAAACATTTATCCTAATCTTAAGAGCGAGAACAGGATGAAATGAATCAATAGTCTGACTTTACTCCTAGTTTGGTTCATGTTCAGTGTCCACTTTGTATATAGATAGTGACTTTATAAAACTGTTTTACAACACAGAAGTCTGCTATTTGCACAAGCTGAGTTATTAATCATTGTAATTAAATCACGAGACATAAAAAAACCATTTGTTTATTCACTGCAAACATAATAATTAATTTGGGGTTGAAAAGTTGTAGTGAAGGATGACATTAACCTTAACGTTAATTAAGTCTTGAAAATCGTAACTTGACAATGACCCTTTTTAATGAGATTTTATGAAAGTAAACTTTCACAGCTTTAGGACAACTACTTTATTAAATCGTTAGTCCTTTAAGGCAGCACTGATATTCATCGCATATGTGTTCAAATTGCTTTAGAGGCAAAGCTCATCTTTGGGCTGCTCCTTTGGACTTTCCTTCTCGCCAGCAGCAAATGAAAACTAAACGCTGTCTATCCTGTTGTAATCTGGTCTTTCACATAGGCTGCATAGACTGTATTTAACCTGATTCAGTTGCCGCTGCTGCTGCTGAGAGAAGCTACAAGAAATGTCAGTAAACACCTCAACCATCTCAGATTAGTGACTAGCTACAGTAGCAAACTGTGCTGTCTCCATTCCTGTTTGCTTTGTACACCTCAGACTTTCAACTTTACAACTTCAGGTCATACCACCTACAGAAACTGTCTTGACGATTCTTCAGTGGTTGGATGTATACGGTGGGCAGTCATGGCCTTGCACCTGGCAGTAGTATGTAGATATGTCATGTTTTAATAAGCAGATAGTGACACGAACATGTACAGTGGAACTTCAGTGAACTGTGGAGATGGCTGTTAATTCTTTGTGACTGTAACACCTTCCTTATCACAGATTGTTATTGCACCTGTTGTTTATATAAAAATCTTGAGTAGTGCAGCTCAATGCTCTCAAATAAGACAGAAGTAGTAACATTGTGTTATACCTAGTTGAAAATTCTTCTCATCTCCTTTATCTGTGCAGGATGTTTGCTCGCAGGAGAAAGCCCACATACTGGGACTACTCTGTCAACTGCACTGGCAATGAAGCACACTTGTCCAGCTGTAAACTGGGCCAGGCTGTACTGGAGAAGTCCAATGGGACCTGCCCTAGAGGATTGCCTGTGGTGGTGAGCTGCGTGCCTGGTAAAGACTTTGCCCCAACACTCATGACGGGATTTAGGAAGGCCTTCCGGCAAGAGGTAAAAAACCCCACATTGTGTCAGTACAACAAGCGATGTAACGATAAGTGGGTGCTGCATGAATGGTGTGAACAAACTGAAATGGTAAACAAAGCTGACATAGGAAATAGCTGCTTGAGTTCAGCTCGGTTCACTGGCTCTGATATAGAGGGTGAATGCATGAAATGTTTTGGTTCGATGTTAAGCAAGGATGGCTCCATGTCGCTTGGTGAACTGCAGCTGGAGCTGCTTTGGAAATGCCTTTGTCAAAATTAGTTACTGTCATCTCAGAGTTTAAAAAATGGCCCAGTCTTGTAAAACTCTCAGGGCAGGGAAAGAACAGCAGCACCAGTGTCAACTATTATTCTTTCTTTAAGTATAAGACCCAGAATTAGTAAGGCTGTATCTTTGGGGTAGTTTTCATACTTTATTTAAATTTTATTCTCTAAGAAATTCAGGACGATAAGGATATGACTCAAACAAGCCCTCCCCAAAAGCACTGTGTAGTAGCATAAGTGAGTGCTCAGGCTGACTTCATGAATTCTAAATGTAATTCACAAAGGCTAATCACTGTTTCCTGAAGGCGTGATTCATTCTCTGCTCAGATGTAAGAATCTAAAATGGAAAATGTAATCTTTTTCTTTCTGATGCTTTGGCTACAAATCTTTTGTCTTGCAGCAGGGACAGCTGAGCAGATGCACTCTTTACTCGCAGGGTTAGAGCTGCCCTGTGGAGTTCTCTCGAAAACACGCAAAAATTAGATTTATATTTACTGCTATTTGACAACATTCATAGAAAGCAAGCAGATAAAGTCAAAATGCGTTTCCATCCTCATAAATGATTTTTTTAAACCTTAATGTTCATTCCTACTCCATCACTGCCATCTGTAGTAAAAGTCTGTTGAAGCTCCAAACTCCTCTGCTTGCAGATAAGATTATATTTGAAAATATCTCAAATCTGCCACAGTTGGAGATTTCGGCCACAACATTTCAGCTACGAGCTGTTGTTAGAGAGGATTTCATCTCACACCTTACGTTTTAGACATAATACTGCTGACTTTAACTTCATGGCCTCACGACAGTGTTAATTTTGATGTTCACTATACTACAGTTCGGAGTACCCAGCCTTCTTAGAGTCCCCGGGGGGGGGTGCTGGAAGGTGCTCCACCTGGAGACTCTGTTGTCCTGCTGGGAGACTTCAATGTAACGTGGGTAACGACAGCGAGACCTGGAGGGGCGTGATTGGGAGGAACGGCCTCCCTGATCTGAACCCGAGCGGTGCTTTGTTATTGGACTTCTGTGCTAATCACAGTTTGGCCATAACGAACACCCTGTTCGAACATAAGAGTGTCCATAAGTGCACGTGGCACCAGGATGCTCTAGGCCGTAGGTCGATGATCGATTTTGTAATCGTATCACCAGACCTGCGACCATATGTTCTGGACACTCGGGTAAAGAGAGGGGTTGAGCTGTCAACTGATCACCACCTGGTGGTGAGTTGGATCAGGTGGCGGGGGAGGACGCTGGACAGACCTGGTGCACCTAAACGCGTAGTGAGGGTGTGCTGGGAACGTCTAGCAGAGGCCCCAGTCCGCGAGATCTTCAACGCACACCTCCGGCAGAGCTTCAACAGCATTCCGAGGGAGACTGGGGACATTGAGTCCGAATGGACCATGTTCAGCGTCTCCATTGCCGAAGCTGCTGCATTGAGCTGCGGCCGCAAGGTGGTTGGTGCCTGCCGTGGTGGTAATCCCCGAACCAAATGGTGGACACCAGAGGTGAAGGGAGCCACCAGGCTGAAGAAGGAGGCCTATCGGGCTTGGTTAGCCTGTGGGACTCCGGAGGCAGCCGACAGGTATCGACAGGCCAAGCGGAATGCGGCTCGGGCAGTGGCTGAAGCAAAAACTCGGGTGTGGGAGGAGTTCGGAGAGGCCATGGAAAAAGACTTTCGGACTGCCTCGAAGAGATTCTGGCAAACCGTCAGGCGTCTCAGGAGGGGAAAGCGGTGCTCTACCTGCACTGTGTATAGTGCTGGCGGAGCGCTGTTGACGTCGACTGAGAAAATTGTCGGGCGGTGGAAGGAATACTTCGAGGACCTCCTTAATCCCACTGACACGTCTTCCGGGGAGGAAGCAGAGTCTGGGGATGAGGGGTGTGACCCACCGATTTCCGGGGGCGAGGTCACTGAGGCAGTTAAACAACTCCTTGGTGGCAGAGCCCCTGGTGTCGATGAGGTCCGCCCCGAGTTCCTGAAGGCTCTGGACGTTGTAGGGCTGTCTTGGTTGACACGTCTCTGCAATGTTGCGTGGAGATCAGGGGCAGTACCTGTGGACTGGCAGACCGGGGTGGTGGTCCCCATCTTCAAGAAGGGGGACCGGAGGGTGTGTTCCAACTACAGGGGGAATCACACTCCTCAGCCTCCCCGGGAAAGTCTATGCCAGGGTGCTGGAGAGGAGGGTTCGTCCGCTAGTCGAACCTCGGATACAGGAGGAACAATGCGGTTTTCGTCCTGGTCGCGGAACACTGGACCAGCTCTTTGTCCTCTCGAGGATACTTGAGGGTGCATGGGAGTTTGCCCAACCAGTCTACATGTGTTTTGTGGACCTGGAGAAGGCATTCGACCGTGTCCCTCGGGGCGTCCTGTGGGAGGTGTTGCGCGAGTATGGGGTGTCTGGCCCATTGCTACGGGCCATTCAATCCCTATACAACCGTTGCAAGAGCTTGGTTCGCATTGCCGGCAATAAGTCGGACTCGTTCCCGGTGGGTGATGGGCTCCGCCATGGCTGCCCTTTGTCTCCGGTTCTGTTCATAATTTTTATGGACAGGATTTCTAGGCGCAGCCAAGTGGCGGAGGGCTTTCGCTTTGGTGGCCTCAGAATCTCATCTCTGATTTTTGCGGATGATGTGGTTCTGTTGGCTTCATCGGGTGAGGGCCTCCAGCTCGCACTGGAGCGGTTCGCAGCCGAGTGTAACGCAGCGGGAATGAGGATCAGCACCTCCAAATCTGAGGCCATGGTTCTCAGCCGGAAAAGGGTGGAGTGCCCACTCCGGGTCGGGGATGAGTTCCTGCCCCAAGTGGAGGAGTTCAAGTATCTCGGGGTCTTGTTCGCGAGTGATGGGAGAAGGGAGCTGGAGATCGACAGACGGATTGGGGCTGCGGCTGCAGTAATGCGGACGCTGCACCGGTCAGTCGTGGTGAAGAGGGAGCTGAGTGTAAAAGCGAAGCTCTCAATTTACCGGTCGATCTACGTCCCTACCCTCACCTATGGCCACGAGCTGTGGGTAGTGACCGAAAGAACGAGATCGCGGATACAAGCGGCGGAAATGAGCTTCCTCCGAAGGGTGGCTGGCCTCTCCCTTAGAGATAGGGTGAGAAGTTCGGCCATCCGGGAGGGGCTTAGAGTAGAGCAGCTGCTCCTCCACATCGAAAGGAGCCAGCTGAGGTGGTTCGGGCATCTGGCAAGGATGCCCCTGGGCGCCTCCTGGGCGAGGTGTTCCAGGCATGTCCCACCGGGAGGAGGCCCCGGGGCAGACCCAGGACACGCTGGAGAGATTATATCTCTCGGCTGGCCTGGGAACGCCTTGGTATTCCCCCGGACAAGCTGGAGGAGGTGGCTGGGGAGAGGGAGGTCTGGACCTCTTTGCTTAGGCTGCTACCCCCGCGACCCGACCTCGGATAAGCGGATGAAGATGGATGGTTATCACAAATTTTCAAATGTATATCGTGATAAATATTTTTGGTCATGTCGCCCTGCTCTACTGTGGGGTAGAAAGGCCTCTGCCATTGCTGGTTCTTGACTTGCAGAATAGTTTTGGTTGTTGTGCCATCATCGCTTACTAAAACAGTTACTCCTGCATTCAAACCATCATTTTACAGTTGTTGGTGTTTCGGGTCAGTGTATGAGTTTTTCAGCTGTGTCCTCAGTACTAGTGATTCATACACACAGGAAAGTGCAGGAAAGCCCTTCTATGTGGCTATATGATTCTTCCACATTTGAAGTGACATATAAAAGTGACATATAAAAAAAATACTAAACTTGCAGTGGTTTTTTAGCTAACGTTATAGTGAAAGATTTATCGTTTGGGGTTATAAGTACCCCCAGTAACAACTCTGTTAGGGGCACATGAGCCAAAAACATATTCTGAGAGTATGGACTCAGTGTTAGAGTTTAGGGCTGAGAATACTAATTCTACCCCAAGGGAAAGGCAAATATGAGTTTTTGGGGAAAAATGTAAATGGTTTTTGATGTGTGTTGAGTTAAAATGAGTGTGTTCCCTGATTGCCAAGCCTCGGGAGAACAATTTAATTAAAACACAAATTTGATATTCTGATTGCCTAGACAGAATTAGGGCTAGGGTTAGGTTTGTGGTCCTCTGATGATCCAACCATCCGACATCTTTGCGGCAGCGGAGGCTGCTTTAAATATTCAGTTAGGTCAGGGTGTAAACTTGGGCATTTACACTTTCGACCATGTGTAGAAAATCAATGCATTTAAATTAGAAAATAATCCACAGCAAGACTGTTTCGACCACGTGGCTTTCAGTTTGTTCATCCTCCACAGCTTTTCATTTTGAACACTTGAATCCCTGCCAGCTCTGCAGAGGTCGTTCTTGTCCTCACTCTGACATCTGACCTCAACAGTAGGTAAAGAAGCCCATTTTCTCACTCGCACCCTCTTAAGATGTCAGGGGTCATGAATTCTTCTTAGCTTAGTTTGACAGTAAGCCAAGAAGAATTTATCTCTGCGTGGCTTCATTCATGGTCTAATGTGAGGTCGGAGCTTGCAGGCATCCTGTCACGTTCCACAGATGGTGGATGGATGGGAGTGGTGTCCCTGACATCATGATCCAAATGGTCCAACACACTCTGCAGATCTGACTCAAAAGAATTATATCCTTAAACCCAAGTTTAAAAATTTGAAAAACAAAACAAAAATAAACAAAAGCACTCCACAAGCGCAAACTTCCACCAAGGCAGCTCATTTTCTATGTACTATTTACTTTTAAGAGAATAGTTTTGTATTTTCTGTATATTTATTTGGTTTTCTTTGTTCTTTCAAAACCTCTTTTAAGTTTTTAGTGCAGGAAACCCATTTTAATATAACTGTCTTACTTTTGAAGGTAATCCTTTTATTATTATTATTCATTTATGTGGCTATGAAATATAAAAATCTTACATTAATTTACATGCTTAGTAATATAAAAGATGCAATCAATCACAAATTACATTGAAATTGTTATGTACTTAGAGATCTATCGCTGCCAGCATGTTAGACTTTCTGGTAAGAGAAAGTTTTTCTTATGTTATTGTATTCTACTGTCTACTTACCAATTTGAAAAAATAAAAACAAAATAAACCAAACTTTGTATAGCGCTTTTCTAGTCCCTAAGGACCCCAAAGCACTTCACACTACATTCAGTCATTCACCCATTCAGACACAGGCGATGGCAAGCTACATTGTAGCCACAGCTGCCCTGGGGCGCACTGACAGAGGCGAGGCTGCCGGACACTGGCGCCACCGGGCCCTCTGACCACCACCAGTGGGCAAACATGGGGTTAGTATCTTGCCCAAGGATATTTGGCAGCCAGGAGGCAGCCTGGGATCGAACCACCGACCTTCTGATTAGTGGCTGACCTGCTCTGCCACCTGAGCTACAGCCACCCCCAATATCCACATTCCTCTGGCTATGATTAGTTTTTTTGCATTGTGCCACCACAGGGATGACATCAGGGTCTCGGTCTCATCTTGGAACTCCAACACATTCTAAACATTCTCACTGCAGGTTGAGAGTTCGTGACCCTAGAGCATAGGTGTCAAACTCTGGCCCGCGGGCCAAATTTGGCCCGCAGCCTAATTACATTTGGCCCGCAAAGCCATACCAAATTACTATTAGAGCTGGCCTACTGGTATTATACAACTAATATATATATTGTTTATTATTAAGCTTTGCTTGTTCCATATTCAGTTTTTCAGCAAAACTTGTTTGAGTCCATAAGAAAAGATTCATTCTTATATCTGGAGGAAGATTTTTTTTTTTTTCAATAAATATTAATAAATGTTCCAGTTTTGAATTTTGGCCCACTGTGTATTTGAGTTTGACACCCCTGCCCTAGAGGATGGGGACAGCATTTTGAAGTATTTGGCATGGTCGTTCAATCCTTACCAATGGCTTTATGCACAGTGGCAATGTTGCCAATGAAAAGGAAGTCACTTTCATTGGGTGAACATCGCTGGCATGAAGGGGAATATCTCTTCATTACCAATATGTTGGAAGTTGTTTTGAGTCAAACATACACATGAAGGCCTGTGTCTAGAAAACTCATATTTACCCAAGCAGCTTGTCTCCTTCCAAAAATATCTGTAACATACCTGTCTGCTTTAATGGTGTAAATGATATTGAACAAATTGGACGACTTTCTTTTTTTTACCCCAAGCATTAGAAGTTGGGCTGGTGTTAGTGTTATTTTGACAAGATGGCTGCTATGTAACAACATACATAAAAGAGTGTGACTTCCTGCATTGTGACACTCATTAAAATTTACTGTCCTAAGCCACTGAAGCCCTTCTGTCGGTTTTGACGATGTGGTGTCCAACAGCCTGCCACCATCATGGTCACAGTTTGTGTGTCCTTGTACCACTGCTGATACTTGCTGGTCAGGAGTGTCTCTAAGGTTTTATACCTGCCCGTGTCCTACATTCACATACGCCATGAGGGTTAGAGTAAACCGGTGCCTCACTTACCCTGATCCTGACATTTATCTATGTGTCACATTTTTAGACTAATGATTGTTTTATGGTTCTAATGTTAATGTTAATAGTGCTGAGGAAATCTGAGTGAAAACTTATTCCAGAGCCCACACATAAAGATGTCTGGGTTTTCTCCTTGTGAATACAAAGCTCAGTAAACCAGATTTCCAAACCGTGCTTTACTTGTAAAATTAAACACTTTCAGTTTATGCAAACAGTTAATGGGAGAATCACATTAATAGCTTGTTCTATAAACATAAAACCACCCAGTCTGCTGCCTCTGCTCTCTCATCACAGAGAAGGAAAAGTTCAGCTTTTAGGGTTTTGAAAGTACTAGAATAACTCAAATATGTGATTTTTGTTTTTTGGATAGTTCAGTTTTTACAGTGACCTCTTTTTGCGGTGTTTGTGTTTGTCGTCTTCAGCAACCATTGGTTCGTCTCCGTGGTGGGGCCATCGTAGGCGAGGGGCGAGTGGAGGTGTTGAAAAATGGAGAGTGGGGCACCATATGTGATGACAAGTGGAGCCTGCTGTCTGCCACAGTGGTGTGTCGAGAGCTGGGCTTTGGTACAGCAAAGGAGGCTCTGTCTGGAGGTCGCCTTGGACAAGGTATACTGGTTTTATATCATTTATTTTTATTAAAAAAATACTGGCAGATTGTTTTCATGCCTGCTCATTGATTGGGACTTCACAGTAGTGAAAGGTCTGAGAAAAGGAAACAAATGCATAAAATTATACCAGTAATGCAACCAATGAGGGAAGCAGAAGGACATGAAATGTGAGCTGCACGAACCAAGGAAAAAAAACAAAAAACGATGGGCTGATTACAAAGTAGACCTGAAAATAACCCATGACACCGAGCTCCAAACGACTTTACTCCTGGAACAAATGTCTGTGTATATTTCCTACATGGCACAGAATGGAAGGGCTTGACTGTGGAGCAAAACCACATATCCCAAACATTTCAGAGAAGTAATTCTAGCCTTTAAACTTTTCTGCTTATATCACCCTTTTGCAGCCAGAGGAACATGAACTCATAGACAAGGTTATAAAATCTGCCCTTAGTTTGCATGTTTGCATGTTTTCATGTCACAGTGGCATTTTGTCAGCTGTTTAGTGGTAATGCAAGAAACTAACCACAACACTGAAAAATGTAGTGCAATTACAACTGTACATGTTTATGTTGGGGATTCATCTCTTAAACAGGCCCACTAAATGTTGGCCCATTGCTCATTGTAGCTCCATTTATCTGCTTCACCAACACTTCACTAGCACAGCTAAAACAACAGTTCTGCTGTTTTAGCTGTTAAATTGGCCACTGGATAGTCACGATCTTTGCTGGGTAGAAGGTTTGAATATGAAAAGAATACCATCACAATTTAAAGACCTGTGTGACATGATAATGATGCAGCCATAGCTGCTCAAACATACTGTTCAAACATAACTTTGAAATGTATACAGAAGATACCTGAAAGGTTAAGCCACTCTATACTACGCCCCACACCCCAAAAAGTACAGAGTGCTTGTAAGATGAGGAAATATTATTTTTCCAGTAAATTACCAAGACATTAGGCTGTACTTAAAATTACTTATGAGTACATAGAATTACCTAAAATATAATTTGTCTCTTTTCCTGTAAAATCCATGAATTTAAGCAATACTTGAAATTGCTTATGCACGACCTAAAATTACTGATTCGCTTCTTAAAATTATTTACAGAATGCTTAAATTTAGCTACAGCAAAATTATTTCTTTGTTTCCGGTAAAAATCAGACTTGTTACCCCCTTATTCTAGTGTCCCTACCTTTTAAGTATTGGTAGGTAAATATAATTACAGCACATTGTAATTTCAATCAAAATAAATAAACAGATTAAAAGTGTTTTAACTAAAATGCATAGAAATGACATTTATTTACAGTGGAATGACACCCTTAGTTGCAGGCCATATTATGTCATATTATATTAAGTGTTACCAGTACATTTAATCAATCTTTGACAAAAAATATTGATTAGAAGTGCGTAACATTTTAAAATAGTATTGCAGCTATTGCATAATATGAGCTTTTAAAGAGTAAGTTCAATCAGATCTTTACTGCCTAAGTATTGATACAGTTTACTTGAACCAGATTGATCGCGCTACTGTACGGTGCAACATTGAGCTCCACTTTCTTTGGTAGCCAAGAGGTTAAACATTTTTGTGGCAGAAACCCTTCATACAGATATTAGATTAATATGAGTGCACTATGTTAATTGTTGATGTACACTTTACTTTTCTTATCCTGTTTAAAAATGGTGAAATAATGATTTTTTCATGTCGTACTTCTTGGAGTGGGCAAATATATTGAAATGTACACAGCAAAGTTTGTGATTCTTGTCTTTTGTTTTGTTTGGGTTTTTTTTTTCCACTGACTGCTCATTTTCAGTGGAGGCTTTTATTGTGAGCAGCTTCACTTTAAGGTTTTCATAACCTGCACGAGCTGCGTTATGCCACTGGCAGGTTTGGAAGTCAGCAGCACACACCTAACAAAAATGTGGCACAAACACACTTCTAACTTAAACACGCAGCAGATATCTCACCAATGTTCAAGTGTATTAAACACACAGCTTACTTGTTTTTCAGCATATAAGGTGGAAAAATCACATTTTCTCTAGTAGTGTGTGGATACCTGGCAACAAGAAGAACATTTCTTCAGAAAAGGCAGGGACATGCTGTACACTGCTGCACATTCCAGTCACGTTAGACGTGGAAAAATTTGAAACGAAGAGAAAGTAGCTTTTTCCATCAGGGTTTCTCATCACTGCCTTTAATGTTTCATGGAAAATAGAAGTCAGCCCAGATAGTAATTCTACACCATAAGACAAAGGGAAAATTGGAAATAAATATGTTATAGTTATAAAGACATAACATACAAGTCAGACTTGAACAATTAATACTTTGTGTCTGTGGAGCAGACTGAGCTGATCTGCAGGTTAAGTGGCTTTACATTTGTGCTTACAGGGCCTCAGAAATCATCAGCCAATGTGATGTGTAGTTGCTGTTGTGGAACTGTTCTAGTTGTTGAGTTGTTTGATTTATTGATCCTCTTGTATGTATGACCTTCTGTTTCCATGCTTAGCTGACTTAGTCTTTCCTATTTAGCTCCGTGGTCTGCTTCTTTGTATGATTAGTTTGTAAAGGAACCCTGGGCATATGTGGGGTTTTTGCTTTTTTTAACTTACTATTAGACTACACTCTCTAAACAAAAGTGACTGAAATAGAATTAAAACAAAAAGATTTGCAGATTTATTTTGGTTTTGGACCATTAGACCAGGTCTTGACAAGAATCTCTGTATATTTAAATTCATGCTTTCCTTAGTTCTGTCCAGTCTGAGCTGCTAAAAGCAGCAAATTCTTTGCTCTGCAAATTCTTTTAAAGGACTTCTGACACTTTTAGATGGACTGCTGCTGCTCCTGATGGGTTTTAGTGGTTCTAAAACTTCTTCCATACTTCATGGAAGAAAGAGGACAAACAGAAACTCTCTAACCCTCAGTGGTTTAAGTCATCATCAGTGAATATCTATTTTTTTGTTTCTTTAAAACGTTGTTCTTCCACGTCTTGCCTATCAGGAGATATTCTAACAGATGCTATTAACTGACTGTTTTTTACAAAAAGCCTTTTTTGCTTTTCTTCAAAACACGGGTTAAGGGTTTGACCAACACAGCATGTTGTGGAAGCTGTAGGGTTGTTGTCTTCACCGATGAAGCTTTAGACCTCACAGTGTTACAATATCACTGTTTGGTAGAACATGATTATGTCCATCCATCCATTTTCTTCATTTTATTGTGTTATGTCACAGTAACAGCAGGGTCACAGAGAGGTCCAGTGTTTTTTTTTTTGTTGTTTTTTTTTTTATTCCTCTTCTTGGATCGTGATGTGCTACCACGTTAAATTTGATCTATAATCACCCCAACGAGTTTTGGGCATACTCTGGGTCTCCTACTGCAATGCTTCAGCTTTCTCCTTTCTACAGCAAGGAGCAGCAGCTCTCCTCAAGATGTCTAAGCTCTTACACATACGTAAGGCCGAGCCCTGCCACCTATGTGTGTAACAATGTAATAAGTTTGCAGAAAAACTGGTGCCAATCCATGGAGAGATCACTGGTGCATCTCAGAGCCAACATAGACAGGCAACAGTTCAAACTCTTATACGATCCAATCAATCAAAACTGATCATTATGGATTTCAAAATCGTATTTGTTTTTCATATGTACCTATTTTCAGTGATTAATAGCAGGAAATTAACTCGGCATATCATTCTTTTCTTTCCCTTTTTTTGCCATAATTTTCAACTAACCTATATTTGACGACAGCATAATAAAACTGGAAATTCTGGTTTTAGTGTGCCACCACAATATTTTCAGTAACCCCCATATAGCCACCTCTACGAAATAATTCTAGAGGTGCCCCTGTAACCAGAGATAATGAGGGTTGGGACACAGAACAAGATCCTCAGATATTTAACCTTGCTGAGCTCTGAACCCCGACCCTATCTTTCCATGGCCAATTGTTCCATTGGAGAACAATGGACAATAATTAAACTAAACAACAATTAAAAATGTTTAATTCATTCAGTTTACAACAGGTGGACATAAAGTTCAGGACACACCTAGAAGACTGTAAAAAGCAAACAGGAAACATGATGGGTTACTAAGCTTATATTTTAAAATGCAATTTATTACACTATAAATTGCAATAGACTGAAAACCTTCTGCACCAGCTTCCTGATAGATGCTAATTCCTACTTCCTGTTTTTCCTGTTTTCTCCTAGTTTCTTGCCATAATGCTAAACTAATTAACTTTTGACTCTGACCTCATATTTAGCATGTAGGTGCCTCACTCTAGGAAAGAAAACATGTTTTTCTTTGAAGCTTTGAATTTTAGATTTTTTTTTTATTACACCAGAATTGTGTTTTTTAATGATATGTAACAAGACCCAACATACAGATTTGTGTTCCCTCAGTCACCTTCAGTGGAATTCAAACTGAATCTGCTTCTTTGTGTGCATTTTTCAGGTATGGGCCCAGTGCATATGAATGAGGTGGAGTGTTCAGGATTTGAGAAGTCCATAACTGAGTGTTCGTTCAATAAGGAGGCTCTGGGTTGTAGCCATGAGGAGGATGCAGCCGTCAGATGTAATGTCCCAAAAATGGGCTTCCAGGAAAGGGTTGGTTTCCATTTCACTATAGCCAAATACTGGTTAACACAGCTGCTCTAGGAAATGAGTTCACAGTGCAACTCAGCAGTTCGTCCAGTAGACTAGAACTGGAGTTCCTTCTACTGTATAACATAATAACATGAATACTTTAAGTGTTCTTTAGTTTGTGCTAACATGTGTTGCAATGCAATGCTTGACACACTGCAATTTTTACAATATGAAAACGTCATTTCTGAAAGTACGTAGATGTTTACCTGATACAACGCAGAGCTGATTAATCTCATTGTACAGAAATTGCCTCAAATTCAGCCAGAAAGTGTTTACAGGATGAACAGGAGTGAACCCAGGTTAAGTCATGACTTAGACCTCTGAGAGGAACATTACTACATACAAAAGTATGTATGAAGTGTACATGGTGCAGTAGAGGTGTACCAGTGAAATCTTGATTAAATCTGTATTCATTTTGCATTTAATGGCAACAAGCACTGTAAATGTGTCCCTTCCAAGAGCACTGATGATCATCAACAGTCCTGTGTTGTTTTTTTCCACACCCACAGCTGCGTCTGAGTGGAGGTCGTAACCCGTATGAAGGCCGTGTGGAGGTGCTGGTGGAGAGAAATGGCTCTCTGGTGTGGGGGACGGTGTGCAGCGAGGGCTGGAGAACCATGGAAGCCATGGTTGTCTGTAGACAGCTGGGTCTGGGCTTTGCCAGCAATGCTTTCCAGGTATGAGTCACAGCAGCCAGGGGGTGGGAATCAGTTTGCCTGGGTGTGTGAAAATCTTTAGATGTCTAAAATGTAAACCAACAAATTTTGTGTTCTTATAGCCAGACTGTACGAATCTGAGCACAACCTCTCCACAGATCTCCGTGGACTCTTCATCTTTAGCTTATAGTTTATAGAAAATGACCCAATAGACATTTTCCACAAAAAGCTAGTTAAAAGAGACAAAGCTATGTGAGTTTAGTTTGTTGGGCTGATTTCCTCAAAGTGGATGATTTCTTTGAAAGTGCTGCTTCATTTAAAGTCATGAATAGGTGCTGCATTTGTAATTCATTATTGAAAGTCCACTGTTATTCTCTTTAGAACTCTTCCTTTTTTAAACATGTTCAGTTGACCTGCTGTGCAGCAACTCAAAGCCTCTTGGTTATTCTAGTAGTTAATTGGATAGCATAAATCAGGCTGGTACAAATTTAACACAGTCTCTGCATTTCTGTTAATTAACACCACCAATAAATTCACAGATGTGTTTTACTTTCTTTTGAGTAAATGATAAGAAATTGCTGTATGTATAGGGCCTGTGAAATAAAGTGTATATATATATATACCCACATCCAAGGAACAAAGCTAACTCAGCAATAATGTATCGACAGAGCACTGAAAGCAGCTTCCAGCAAATAGCTTGTGCTGCCAGTGGAAAATGGGATACAAAATGTACTATGACACAAAGAAGAAACTTTCCACTTGTTTTAGGAGTCTTTCTTTTTCCTTTTTTTTTTTTTTTTTTTTTTTTTTTTTTTTTAAGAAGTTTGCTCTCTAGACAGCAGAGAGAACTAGAATACCTACAGCCAAATCATGAGTGTTTGGGCTTCCACAATCCAACAGCGCAGAAAAACTAAAAATTCTGCTTTTATTTTGTATGGACTGAAAGGTCCAGTACAGAAAAGGAACTGTCAGTTGTTAAATCACTGTTTGCATCAGTTGGCTGTCAGTGAACTTTGTTTGGTGTGTATTATGATCAGAATTAGCTGTCGAGTCTGGAAACTCAGCTGTTAGGGTTATGTGACATAAATTCCTGAGACTTTTTAGTCATGTAGTAATTACATTTCATCTACATATATAATATTAAAGAGACTGTAGGTTCATTGTTTTGTACATTCACAGTTCAATTCAATTCAATTTTATTTATATAGTGCCAAATCACAACAGCAGTCACCTCAAGGCGCTTTATATTCTACAGTAGATCGTACAATAATACATACAGAGAAAAACCCAACAATCATATGACCCCCTATGAGCAAGCACTTTGGCGACAGTGGGAAGGAAAAACTCGCTTTTAACAGGAAGAAACCTCCAGCAGAACCAGGCTCAGGGAGGGGCGGGGCCATCAGCTGCTATTGGTTGGGGTGAGAGAAGGAAGACAGGATAAAGACATGCTGTGGAAGAGAGACAGGGATTAATAACAGATATGATTCAATGCAGAGAGGTCTATTAACACAAAGTGAGTGAGAAAGGTGACTGGAAAGGAAAAACTCAATGCATCATGGGAATCCCCGGCAGCCTACATCTATTGCAGCATAACTAAGGGAGGATTCAGGGTCACCTGGTCCAGCCCTAACTATATGCTTTAACAAAAAGGAAAGTTTTAAGCCTAGTCTTGAAGGTAGAGATAGTGTCTGTCTCCCAAATCCAAACTGGAAGCTGGTTCCACAGAAGAGGGGCCTGAAAACTGACCTCAGTTTTATCTGAATTAAGAAGCAGAAAGTTAGCGGCCATCCAGGTCTTTATGTCTTTAAGACATTCCTGCAGTTTAACTAATTGATGTGTGTTATCTGGCTTCATAGATAGATAGAGCTGGGTGTCATCTGCATAGCAGTGAAAATGTATGCTATGTCTTCTAATGATGCTGCCTAGGGGAAGCATGTATAGTGTAAACCGAATTGGTCCTAGCACTGAACCCTGTGGAACTCCATAATTAACCTCAGTGTGTGAAGAGGACTCTCCATTTACATGCACAAATTGGATTCTATTAGATAGATATGATACAAACCAGTGCAGTGCAGTACCTGTAATACCTACAGCATGTTCTAATTGCTCTAATAGAATATTATGGTCAACAGTATCGAATGCTGCACTAAGGTCTAGCAGGACAAGCACAGAGATGAGTCGACTGTCAGAGGCCATAAGAAGATCATTTGTAACCTTCACTAAAGCTGTTTCTGTGCTGTGATGAACTCTGAAACCTGACTGAAACTCTTCAAATAAACCACTCCTCTGCAGATGATCAGTTAGCTGTTTGACAACTACTCTTTCAAGGATTTTTGATATGAAAGGAAGGTTGGAGATTGGCCTATAATTAGCTAAGACTGCTGGGTCTAGAGATGCTTTTTGAGTAAAGGTTTAACTACAGCCAGCTTGAAGGCCTGTGGTACATAGCCGATCATTAGAGATAGGTTGATCATATTTAAGATCGAAGGATGAATTAACGGCAGGACTTCTTTGAGCAGTTTTGTAGGAATGGGGTCTAAAAGACATGTTGATGGTTTGGAGGAAGTACACTCAACAAAAATATAAAAGCAACACTTTTGTTTTTGCTCCCATTCCCCATGGGATGGACGTAGAGACCTAAAATTCATTCCAGATACACAATATAACCATCCCTCCCAAACAGTGGTCACAAATCAGTCCAAATGTGTGGTAGTGGGCACATCTGCTATATTGAGATAATCCATCCCACCTCACAGGTGTGCCACATCAGGATGCTGATCTGACATCATGAGTAGTGCACAGGTGTACCTCAGACTGCCCACAACAAAAGGCCACCCTGGAATGTGCAGTTTTTTGCGCTATTGGGGGTCTGGGGACCCAGAACCGGTCAGTATCTGGTGTGACCACCATTTGCCTCATGCAGTGCAACACATCGTCGCATGGAGTCTATCAGATTGTCAATTGTGGCCTGTGGAATGTTGGTCCACTCCACTTCAATGGCTGTGCGAGGTTGTTGGATATTCGTGGGAACTGGCACACGCTGTCATATACGCCGGTCAAGCACATCCCGAACATGCTCAATGGGTGACATGTCCGGTGAGTATGCTGGCCATGCAAGAACTGGGACATTCTCAGCTGCCATCTGCCCTGAACAATGTGAACCATGATTCATCTGTGAAGCGTACACCTCTCCAACGTGCCAGACGCCATCGAATGTGAGCATTTGCCCACACAAGTCTGTTACGGCGACGAGCTGGAGTCAGGTCAAGACCCCGATGAGGACGACGGGCATGCAGTTGAGCGTCCCTGAGACGGTTTCTGACAGTTTGTGCAGAAATTGTTGTTGTTGTTCCAGCAGCTGTCTGGGTGGCTGGTCTCAGACGATCTTGGAGGTGAACCTGCTGGATGTGGTTACACGAGGTCTGCGGTTGTGAGGCCGGTTGGATGTGCTGCCATATTCTCTGAAACGCCTGTGGAGACGGCTTATGGTTGAGAAATGAACATTCAATGCACGGGCGACAGATCTGGTTGACATTCCTGCTGTCAGCATGCCAATTGCACGCTCCCTCGTTGCTTGTGGCATCTGTGGCATTTTGCTGTGAGACAAAACTGCACATTCCAGGGTGGCCTTTTGTTGTGGGCAGTCTGAGGTACACCTGTGCACTACTCATGATGTCAGATCAGCATCCTGATGTGGCACACCTGTGAGGTGGGATGGATTATCTCAATATAGCAGATGTGCCCACTACCACACATTTGGACTGATTTGTGACCACTGTTTGGGAGGGATGGTTATATTGTGTATCTGGAATGAATTTCAGGTCTCTACGTCCATCCCATGGGGAATGGGAGCAGTAACAAAGGTGTTGCGTTTATATTTTTGTTGAGTGTAATTATTGAAGTTAACTCAGAAAGATCAATTGGAGAAAAAGAGTCTAACTTAACATCAATGGTACTTTTAGTACAATTGATGGGATGGTTATTGGTAATTTTTTCTCTAATGATTAAAAAAAATTTTGTGAAGAAATTCATGAAGTCATTACTAGTTAACGTTAAAGGGATGGTTGGCTCAAAAGAGCTCTGACTTTTTGTCAGCCTGGCTACAGTGCTGAAGAGAAACCTGGGGTTGTTCTTATTTTGTTCTCAGGAAATGATCAGACAGGAGAGGGTTTTCAGGAAACACTGTTAAATGTTCAGTTTCTATGCCATGTCTCATGTTTCATTCTAAATACACATGTGACAAATCAGCTAGCTGATAGCTTCTGCACAAATGTTAAGGCTAACTGTTTACCGGCTTTTACTAGCATGTATCTATCCTTCCAGGGTGGGAGTTATAGGAAGAGTAGTCTATATGTAGACAATACAAAATAAGTTTATAAAATTAAAATTTGGGCTATGAGTAGGTTTGAATGTTGTGCTGTTCATTTTAAATTGTAGTTGTATTTTTATTTTTATGGTTCAACAATCCAAATGACTGTAATTACAAGTAATTTTCACTCCAAGCAGAAGACTGGAACAACACTAATTAATAAATAAATTTGTTTGCTTCCAATCGAAACTTTAAGCTTCATTATCATTTCAACTGTTGAAAAAATATGAATATTTCTTGTTTTTTATCTTGTCAACTTCAGGGCTGCACATTGTCTGCTAATTTGAAAATGGAAAATCTTTTTAACAATTTGAGGCTATTGCATTTCTTTTTTAAATTTTAGGTATTTATGCATTTTAAATTTGTATTTTTTTTATTTGACTGTGCAAAAATATTTGACTTAATTTTTTTTTTCATTTTGATAAAAAAAAAAAATAGATTAAATATATCAGCTACATACTTCCATGCATGCCACTGTCCGGTGGCTCTGTGTATATGCACAGCCTTCTATTTTTTTTAATAAACACAGACACATGTAAGACGTTAGGAGTGAGAGGCCTGGGTGTGAACTGGGGGGCGGCCCAAAACACTGTTTACAGTGCAGCAGGGTAATAGTAGGAGCAGATAAGGAGGCTGAGGGGCTTTGTGCTAACAGCTTTATGAAAGTGTTTGCACAGCCATGAAATGAAGAGCGTATGATTATAAGGTGTTTGCCTTCCGGCAAGAGTTTGAAGGACTCTCAGCTGTAACAGGAATCCATTTACTGTATTACATGCTGTGCAGCTTTTTTCATCATCTGTCAGTGTAACGATACATTAGAGATACATAAGAGCTCATAAGACAGAGCTTTAACTTTTAAGTTGCGCTTTTTGACAAAAAAACAGACAAACAGGTAATAAAACGCTACAATATGGAAAATCATCACAAACTAAACCAAGAGCAAGCAATTATTTTGGCTGCAGAAAAAGCCAAATCCTTAACTGGCTGAAGACATTGAGGTTAACAGAGACTGACACAAGGGACTGAGGGGAAGTCAACACTATATAGACACAGAAGGGCAGTCAGGGGAAGTGGACACAGCTAGTGAAAACAAGACACAGCAGTGGACACTTTATTCAATGAGACAGGAGGGGAAGTAAAACCAAATGTGAGACACTAAAAATAAGTAAGTACTAAAGTAAAACAGAACTTGAAAAATAATAACTAAATGAGAAACGTAAAGACATTATTAAACATTTTCTGATGTGTATCAGTCCCCTAGGATTAGTTCATTCATAACCAGAACCTGAAAGTCCACAAGCACAAGCAACTAAACCTGCAGTGTTGTTTTCTGTGATAATTGAAGTATAACCCCTCCCAGGCTAGGGTAAGGGTTTTCTTTTTCAGAATGACTTGGATTAACTAAATTTGATTACTTAAAAGTACATTTTTGTTTTTGAAAACTGTTGGGCAAATGTCACATTTTCTCATTGTTCTGAGTATTGGTCAATTTAGTGAGTGCTGTCAAATAAATCATTTTTATGCTGCCAAAGAAAAACTACTAGTTGTAGTCAATCGTGATCAATAACAAGAGGCCCTGGCCTTATATACTCCAAAATCAACTCAAATGTGTGCGTTGTTTCTTCTTTTTCAGAGTCAGTACAAATGTACACTATAAATCATTCCAACCTGGGCAGGGGAGAAAAAAATTTAAAAGAAATCATTAAAAGCCCCAAATTATCATGATAATTATGCCCATGAAAACTTCTGCTCCAGGTTACATTTAAGATCTTTAGCCTGCACTTACCCGCTCGAACTCTCTGGTCCTCCCATCGGATGCTTTTACTGGTCCCACGCTCCCAATTAAAATCTAAAGGATACAGGGATACTTTCTCTGTCATTTCTCCGAGTCTTTTATAAAGTCCTCCTTCTCTTTGGAAATCTTCAAATCGAACTTCAAGACCTTCCTATTTTCACAGGCTTTCAGATCACTTTGAAACCTGGTCTGTTCTGTCTTAGTTATCTTGTTTGTTTTTTGTAAATATATGTATGTATGTGTACATGTATGCTTGTATAGGTATTTGTATATAAGTGTATGGATGTTTATATAGATTTCTTTCATCTTCATTTATTTTTGATATTTTAACTACATCGTACCTCTGTTCAACACTTTGGATGACACTTAATGTCTTTTAAACGTTCTATACAAAAAAGCTGACTTGACTTGAAAGCTGACGAGGAGTTAAATGCATTCCTGCTGCAGGGGATTCAGCAGCATTAACATGTCATAGGGACAGCCCACCAAGTTAGGAGGGTTTTTATAAAATACAATGCACTATATACATACATACTATATACTGTACTATATATGGAGAGGTTGTGGCTGCTACATCTGATCTGTAAACTGTGCTTTTTCCACAGGAGACCTGGTACTGGTCGGGTGAGGTGAGCGCTGATGCTGTGGTGATGAGTGGCGTTCGGTGCTCTGGAACTGAGATGTCTCTGTCCCACTGCCTGCACCATGGAGCCCACCTCAGCTGCCCCAAAGGAGGCGGCCGCTACGCTGCCGGGGTCTCCTGCTCTGAGAGTAAGACAGTGAAATGAGCAGTGTGCTGAAAAGTCATATTATGTTATCTGTGTAAAATTTGCCTCAACAAAGCCTGATCATGAAGGAATAAATAAATTGGCCTTTCCACTTTTAAACCTACTTTGACTGGAGCCTTGAAAATCTTTTACTCCTTCAATCTGCACATTCAGTTTTAATTCAACAAATGTAAATAAGTTTGACGTAGAGCTGCTAGAACAATTTCTGTATGTCCCTAAAAATGTTTCAGCAGCATGTATTTTTCACTTCTATCTATAGCGGCACCAGACCTGGTGCTGAACCCTCAGGTGGTGGAGCAGACCACCTACATGGAGGATCGGCCCATGTTCATGCTGCAGTGTGCATATGAGGAAAACTGCCTGTCCTCCACATCCAGCGAGGTTCCTGCCAACACCTACCGCCGCCTGCTGCGCTTCTCCTCCCAGATACACAACAATGGCCAGTCCGACTTCCGACCCAAAGCTGACAAGCACTCGTGGGTGTGGCATGACTGTCACAGGTCAGTGAAAGTACAAGCACTGTTTTGGAGGTTTGATACTAGATTTTATCAAGTGATCGCATTCTTGATCACTAACCCCGGGCAATCGGAATATGTTTTTTTTTTGTTTTGATCAAATTGTTCTTCCATGTCTTGAAAGAACAATTCATTTCAACATCTGTTTTCCCAAAAGGTGCATTTTTGCTTTCTCCAAGATGCAGGGTTAGTGTCAGGAATTACCACCTGTGATGACTAAGACCTCAGAGGGTTCATGCTGATGGCTGTCAGACCTTTTCTCGTTACAAGCACTGGATTTATACACCTACTAAATCCCCTTTAGAAACATAAATTACACCTTCATTAAAAACTACAAGCAAAAAGTCAGTGGACTGTTGGCAGCCTTCAGCTTTCAGTATATCAGGACGGTCAGAATCACTGAAAGAAATGACTCTTTCTAAGGGACATGCTGTTTTTACAGGTGCTATTTAGTTGAGATGCTTTTTTAAAAATGTATTTATTTATTATTTAAAGAACGCCGGTGCCCTTGAGACTAGAGCTAAAATGACAACAAGTGTCTTCTTTTAAAGGCTAAAGTATGTTCCCGTCTTTGTGTGTAGGCATTATCATAGCATGGAGGTGTTCACCATCTATGACCTATTCAGCCTGAATGGAACCAAAGTGGCTGAAGGACACAAAGCAAGTTTCTGCCTGGAGGACTCAGAGTGTGATGAAGGTAAGATCTGAAAAAGGAATTCAGTTATGGAAGGAAATAAATTTTTCACTTTTGAAACATGTGGCAGAAAACGAATTCTTATATGTTCAGTAATGGACTTTTAAAGCTCCTTTAAACAATATGGTTACTGAAAAGGGTGACTTAACACTGTCTAAGGTGAAAAGGTTGACTTTTAATTTCAGAATTATTAAGCAGCTCCACAGTTCTCCAAGATGTAAGGAGCTTTTCCAGGATCTTTCAGTTTTTCAGCAGGAATTTTAAAATTGAACCCATATATTTGAGGTTGCCTGATTTAGTTCAATTCAATTAAATAAAATCCAGTACACTTTTATTTATATTACGCCAATTCAGATTAACAGTCATCTCGAGACCCTTTATAACTTACAATAGTAGAATGAAACTCCAACAATCTCACAGCCCCCTGCAAGCACGTGGTGACAATGGGGAGGAAAAACTCCCTTTTAACAGGAAGAAACCTCTGGGAATATGAAAGAGAAGAGAGCAGAGCAAAACAGGATAAAAGGCAAGGAGAGAAAGCCAGAGTTTAATAATAGATAATGATTAAAGAGGGGTGCATAGTAATAGTGTGTAAAGACAGAGGGAAACTAGATGAGTTTCAGTTTGTCAATGCCCGATAAGCAATGACAAATATTATTATATTTTGTTATTGCAGGTATTGAAAAGAGGTATGAATGTGCCAACTTTGGAGACCAGGGTATTACTGTGGGTTGCTGGGATACCTACAGGCATGACATCGACTGCCAGTGGGTCGACATTACTGATCTGAAACCCGGGGATTACATTTTCCAGGTGATGTTTCTCGCCTTTAGCTCTTTTGCTAGAGAACCAACAGTTCAGCAAGATTCAGCTGTTCATACAATGGCTTCAAACTGCAGCTATAGCGTCTCATTCATGACCTCCCTCTTGCAGATTATAATTAATCCAAACTACGAAGTGCCAGAGTCGGACTACACCAATAACTTCACGAAATGCAGATGTCGATATGATGGCCATCGTGTGTGGATGTACAGCTGCCATAATGGTAAGATGATAAGGCTATATCTGCTCTTTGTCGTTTGGTAAAGTGTTTACTACACTTACTTTTTAACCAACTAACTAAACTTGTTAAACAGTTTCAGATTTTAATCTTTCATTAATGAGTTGCCCTGCTATTTCACATGAATGCTAATGAGTACCCTGTGAGCTTCTTTTTATTTATTTTTTCAATTTCCTATGCTTGACAATTAGAGTGAGTGATTCTACAAGTGTAAAACAAGGACAAAATGTGTAGGTGGTAACTGTCTGTCTCTGCTGCTGAACTTCTAGGTGGCTCATTAAGCAGTGAAACGGAACAGACATTCCCGGGCCTCCACAGCAACCAGGTGACCCACAGGTAAAGACAGAGCAGAGGAGTGGAGTTAACTGGCCTATGCTTTCAGCAGAAAGACCAGCTGAAGCCAACCAACCACTACACATCTCATCTACGTGGATTCCTCTGACCAGCCATGCCCTGGTCAAAGCATCTGTTTTTACGCTCGCCTCATCCATGAGGCAGTCGCTTTCTTTGACCCTCTCCCCTCCCGTTTCCCTCCGGCAGACAGAATATTTGATTCCCCCTTCTGTCCGTGCAGAGGCAGCTACTTTAACAACACTTCCAACCTCTCTGGTTAAGAGCAAGAGAACGGTGAAACTCTCTGTATGCCCTGTGACAGAGAGAACTTGTTTTTACAGACCTGCAGGTTAGTGGCAGGTGTATTACACAAGGCGAAGTATCGAGGAATGTCATTACGAGTCTGCCTACTTTGAAATGCAGCTTTTTAAAAGAACCCTGCTGCACTTCTTTTGTGTGTATGTCTGTGTGTGTTTTTCCCCGAAACTCTCCCTGAAGAGTTTGGTTTGTCTGTGCCAGGTCGCCTGAAGATTGACAGGAATCATCAATAGCAAACACAGCAGCCTGTGTGTGGAAATGCAGGCTATTTTTCATTCCATTCATTTTTTTTAGCAGTTTCAGAAATGTTTTTTACATGCTGAAGCCCAGATAACTAAGCTTCCTATTGCAAATGTTATTTAAGCGTCACATCTTCAGTGAGGAATTTTTTTCAAATTAAGCTGTGGCAGAAGCAATTTCTGCAAAGCAAAACAGCCCGTTCATCACCAATTACAAGTGCTAATTGCCTGGTTCGGCTGGAAAACTAATCTACCATGGCTGAAACGTGACGTATTAAAGTGCCTTAAAGTGCCCAAAGCCATTTTAGCTCTGCACACTGCACTGACAAGATTGTGGTCACATTTCATAGAAGAGTAGCACTAAAAGTCTCTGAAGAAGCTGATCATATAAAAGTATGTTGAAAGAAATATAGAAAGGAATATTATATTTCCTATTTACAGCAAGCAATAATCACTTCTAATAGGGGCTTTTGATTTAGTATGCCTGCCAACATTACCTTATGCTGGGCTAAAGCTGGGCAGACACTGTGCGATTTTTTCAGTCGCGCGATTCAGCTCGTGCTCAAACTGTGCGATTGACTCGCAGGGGTTAGAAGTTGGTAGGTCACGATGCAGGTCTCACACTATACGACCCGATGCTCTGATGCGACCTGAGTGCTCACACTGTGCGTCCATAAAAATGAAGGTTAACAGAAAATCTGTCGCTCAGTCTCCCTCTCTGTCTTTCACTCACACAGACACGCACACCACCACCATCAACTTTGCTAAATTGCTAATGAAAAACACTGATCGGGCAGCTGTGATTGAGCAGCAATGTCCATCCAACTATTTTCACGGTTGTTGTGATCGTGATAATTTTGTGAGGCCACATCGAAAAGGCTCGGATGAGCTTTCCAAAGTTCTACAAGTGCCTCCATCGCTTGTGTCCAGATCACACGCTGCACTCACTGCTGCGCTGCTCCGTCTTTTTCACCGAAATCTGTGTTTGCGCGTGCGCAGTGTGAGAAGCTGCGGTGTTCCTCACGACCAAGCGATTGATGATCGGGAGCTGGTCGTGAGGTGTTAATCGCTTGTCGTTACCCCACGTATACTACACGATGCACGACGCACGATGAAGGCCAAAATCAGTCGCACGACTGAAAAATCGGCTCAAAATGGGCCAAAAATCGCACAGTGTCTGCCCAGCTTAAAGATCCTCTGATCAGCTTGTTATGCTGCCCTCTAGTGGTTTACAATTTCCAGGTTGCTGAAGTGTTGCAAACGTGTACTGCAGTCAGTACACATTTATATTACTATGAGGTGCAGGTTATACAGTAAGTTAAAACATAAGAACCCACAAACTGTCGAAAAAAATGTTCTAAAGTGAAACAAACACAGTTAAAAAAAACTCTTTAAAATCTAATCCTTTTAATTATTTTTATTGTAAACCTTCAGTGTTACTATTATTATGTGCCTCAGTCACACAGGTCTAGAGACCCCCTGGCAACCTCAAGGAGTAAGGAAAAATATGCATTCATCAACCAGTAGGCAAGTGGTTACTGGAGGTTGCTAGCTGTCACTGAATGTTATTGGCTGCAAATATTGGCTACAGTAAACCTACTTTTGATTTGGCTGAGATGCCGATTTAGTGCAAACACTGGTGACCTAACCACTCTGCATTAGTGAAACTTCAAAAAGTCCATTGCAGAACCACAGGGAGGCTGTTGGTCAGCAAAAAAGTTCCACCTTACAACTGAAACCAACATGTTTCAACTTCTACGTTTACTTTAAAGGTAAACAGTCTCCATTTCTGGTTGGTGTCACGGTTTTCACAGCTTCACTACAACTTATAGAGTAGTTTGTAAATTTTTCCAAACAAGTCGCTGATTTCCATGCTAACTACTGCTGACTGTGACAACCTGCTAGTGAGCAAAGCAATAGCAAGGAAGTTTTCAGTGTAGCACTGTATACTTTTTTTGCAACCAATTTCACGCTAGCAACATCCAGTAACCATACACCAACTGGCTGTGGAATACACACTTTTTGCTAGCATGTATGCTAGCAAAAAGTCACTGATTGGTCTCTAGGTCTGCATAAATTGGTCTTAAGCATTCAATTTCACAGCAACTACCAGCAAATACTTGCAACCATTTGGGGAGTAAATACAAACAGGTGTCTACACCTGTGGGATTGGGGTCTTATGTAACCAGTGAAATCATTTTAACTGCATCACGTTCTAGCTGCATCAGCTAAATCAAACACATACCATTTTCAAGCTATTATGATGATGCATTGACTGAGCAGTGAAGAACTGCTTGTCAAACATACAGGAAGCTCCCAATTGGTTTAGCTAATAAGCTTTTAATATATAGACCTTTGTTGACGCTTCACATGATAGTTTGCAAATATTTAAGAGACAGGCATTATGTGGTATAAATGTGTCTTGTTTGACTTTATAATCCTGTTAGCAACAGAGATGTGCTAAATGTTGGTTTAAAAGTACAAGTTTCTTTCCAAGTTACACCTATAAGTTGTTGTTGTTGTTTTTTTTTTTCAGAAAAACATGATATAGTAGAAACACAAATCCATGTCATTGGTCCTGTTATGTTATCAGTGTTCTGTTGTAAGCTAGTGTAAATGGATTGCTTCCTGTCGTTAGCTTGTATCTGCAGGTACCATGCATCGGATGTTTTCCCTTCAATTCAAAAACTATCAGCTGCAAATTCAAATATCACAATAAAAAGTACTTTAAGACATTTGATTTTATATTTAACTCCAGTGTGGCTTTTAGGCTTCCAGTCAGTGGGACTCTTTTAACATGAGGATCACAGGACTGCTCTACAGTAACATGCTGTCAAATTTTGTCTTGCTGCTTTACATGCTGGCTTCATAAGGCAACAGAAGACCTGATCTCCATCCTGTGGCACCACAGATCCTCTAACAACAAATAGAGAATGCATTCCTCCCTGTTTGTCTGTTCCAGATATGTTTTTTTCTCTTTTATTCTTTTGTACAACAATGTGTGAATCCAGTGTTATTTTAATGGTGCTATCAAACTGGTCCTCTGTTTTCTGAGGACACTTTACATGTTGAACAGCCACATGTATATATGTATACTAATAGTATACTTGAACTGAGCATACACAACCATTTGTAATTGTGTTTTCTTATTAATGACCTTGTTACCCCCTTGCTAATGTAATCCTCTTGGTTTTTAAACTGCTGATATCTGGTGTTTTTAGACCAATGTCTGATTGTGGAATACTCTTCCTGTCACGGTGGGATATCGAGTTTTTAGTGCTGTCTTGCTGTTCAGTTCCAAAGCCAAGTATCAGGAAAGTTTGTGACTTTGAACCACAGACTGGACTGTCTGCTAAAATCAGCTGTCTTTGGCAGCATTCACCCTGCATAAGATGGACTTTTTTCCTGTTCTGTGTCATTTCGCTCAGACGTGATTCACATTTCAGCTTTGATTTTTAGTACATTTGCAATAACCTTATATTTTTTCCTTTATTGTTGTGAGTTGTTGGGTGTAGAGTCAATTAAATTTACAACACAATAAACTGTAAAAGTGTGTGGATAATTTGTGGACAGACTGCACATTTTGGCTTAAATATTTCCATTTATAAGACGTTAGTGAGCCTCGCTTGGATAATGGCTATAAGCTACACTTGCAAGACTAACTCCTGATTTTGTAGTCGTAGACAGCATAAAAGATCGGTGTAGCTTCTGGGTATGAAAAATAAAACTGCATTCTATCTGAAGGCTCCCAGATGGCAATAGCTGTGGTAGCAAAACCACTTAGAGTAATTTTAGACGTATATGGGAAAACATCTTGATGCATTCTCAATCATCCAGGTAAAGTAAATCTCCAAAGGTTGATTCTGTTCATCTGGACGTAGCGTTTTGTGGGAGAAACGTTTCGTCACTCATCCAAGTGACTTCTTCAGTCTCAGCTGACTGCAGGTTTCCCCAATACTATAAACAGTACATTTGCATAATGACTGAAACCAGCCCACTGAAGGAACAATGGGCTGGGAGGTCAGTTCCTTCATCATGATTATGCAAATTCTAATGACCATTGATCAATGACCACTGACTCTTTATAAGATTGGAGAAACCTGCAGTCAACTGAGACTGAAGAAGTCACTTGGATGAGTGACGAAACGTTTCTCCCACTGAAAACGCTACGTCCAGATGAACAGAATCAACCTTTGGAGATATCTGGGAAAACAACTTTCTGATTTGACCCAGATCTGTTAACTCTTTCTGAGTTTATGGGCTCAATTAAAACGTTATCTATTTTGTAGATCTTCGTCATATTATCTTGCAAAATGGAGACTTATTAGCTAACGACCTGTCAATCACAAGTTGTTAGCTAATGCACCTTTGCTTTGAGAGTCGGACCAAACCTTCTTTGTCGCATCTGCTTTTTCTAACCATGATGGCAATGGCAGAAACGTTAGTTCCCAGAATTTAAAAGAGGCCTTCAGAGACCAGTGGGTGACATAAAGGTAGCTAGGGTAGGTATAGTAAGATTACTTATTGTAAGATAACTTTAGATTAGTTGCTAAAGGGTTAAATAACTAAACATTTGTAAGTGTTGTGAAGGTACCTTCAAATTTTTAATTTTCCCAATTTAGCTATAGTTTAAAAAGTTTAAAATAAAAATATATAGTTTAGGACTAGACTTAACCCATGTCTGGGGAATCAACCTGTGGGTTTCAAGGAAAAGACAGCACAACCACAAGAGCTTCCTGGTTCTTGGTATTGATTCTCGTGAACTATTGGAGAGATTAACATGATTTTTCCAAAGACATTACCTCATTTGATGTTTTGATTATTGCAGTGCAGAGAGCTGCTTGACATATACTAAACTGCTACTTTATGAGCTCTACTTCTTTAACTGTGTGCTATTGCAAATATATAATCAGCCAATAAAATGGCAGCAATTTATGCATAACATGATCAAGAAAACCTGCTGAAGTTCAAACCAAGCGACAGAATGGGAAACAAGGTGATATAAGGCACACTGAACGGGGCATTGTTGTTTGTTCCACTCTCAGCCAAAAACAAGAAAAGTGAGGCAGCAATTTACACTGGCTCACCAAAATTGGACGGCAGAAGATTGAAAATATGTTTCCTGCTCTGATGAGCCTCTATTTCTGCTGCAACACTGAGATGGCAGGGTCCACATCTGGTGTAAACAGCATGGATACATCCTGCCTTGTATCAGTGGTCCAGTCTGCTAGTAGAGGTGTAATGGTTGGAGGATATTTTCTGGGAATCCTTTGTGTGTTCTTAACGGAACACTTATGGGAGAAGTGTTGTTGCCCACCAATTTCAAAGGTAGGCTGGCATGAGTAGAGTCAAAATGTTTGTTGGCAAGCTACTTAAAGCCACATTGTCCTTGATGCACCATCATTACTGTGTTTAACAGATATTAGAATATAAGGCTGGGTTGAGATATGGTGACTGTGAGGTCAATTCAATTCGATTCAAATTAATTTTATTTATATAGCACCAAACAACAGGCGATAGAAAGACTGTTTTATATTGTAACATAAAGACCCTACAATAACAGAGAAAATAAACCCAACA